TCTATTAATCTAAATAATGGGAAATATATATCTAAAAAGGATGAATATTCATATTTATGCTGACTGCAAATATTATTATGTGCTTGCATTAATCTTGCGAATCTTTTTGCTTGAAAAAGTCATTTATTGAGAAAAATTGGTACAATGTTTGTATTAATTGAAAATATTTTGCATCATTTTCTGCAACCATATTTTACCATATTTCTGGCAACATGGTGATGTCGTGTCCAAAGAACTTATATTATGATTTTGCAGCGATCCAATCATCGATCCATTTTCGCAATTCTTCAATTTTGCGGAGTCGCGTACCTGCCAAGCCATGCTGCATCGATCCGAACAGGTGATAATCAGAAGGCACTATGTCTGATGGGCACGCTGGGTGCGGAAAAACTTCTCATTCAAGCTGCAACAACGTACCCTTGGCAACTCTTGCAATCAGTGGACAAAAAGTGGCATTTTCAGTCACTTTGTGTCGTCACTTTTAAATCGTTCGAATCAAAACGGACAACCAACGGTGTTTGGTGGACTTCGGCAACATACTTTTTTAATTTAGACGACAAAAGCAATGAAGGTCGGAAATGCAATTTTGGGCGCCACTTGATTAGCCCCGGCTTACATTAAATAACTCAGTAATATTGATTGGAAATCTTTTATTCGAGGTAGAGAAAGGTCAAAATCATTGAATTCAATCGTTATGTACACTGGCATTTGCTATTTCTTTATCATTTTTACATTATTGCTTCTACTGCTCAGCGTCGATTCTGAGTCGATTTGGTCCCATTCAAGCTGCTATACTGCTTCGTCGGGTCTGGTTGCAGTTGATGACCTTCTTTCTCAAAGTTGCTCTTATATATGTAATTGGAAGATATATTTTCATAGCTAACGTTCATAGCAATACAAGTTTAAAAGCTTCCAGCAAAATACGCTTTCATAAGCCAAAAAAATCGCTACTAATCGTGCAAAATAAGTATTGGTTTTAAAATTTGGAAAAACAAACTACTTACTATCGTCACCTAAAGGTTGATCATAGTTTTTGAAAGTTGTTCTTTTTGTTGCCAATCAGTCAGTTATTATTATTGCAACTTAACAGTACAGTTTATGACTTATGACAGATCTTAGCTGCGACTTCAACTAATTTAATTTTTTGTATGTCCTAAAAATTTCATTGCTTCTTTGTAAAACCTTAGAGATCTTCATAGAAAGCAGATATGTTATTGTCGTTGTAAGATTGGTTATGGATCTTATTAAAAAATTTTAAAAGTTAATTGTTGCACACAAATTGCGATAGGAAGCTGAAGATTGGTAGATATTCGAAATCAATGTGATTTGCTCTCATAATCAGTCTTACAATAAGCAAAAAACTGTTACTTGTGATCCATGGCACACATTAATCTGAAATTGGTCAAAAACAGTTTGTTACGTCATCTTATAAAGATAAATATTAAAAAGGTTTCGGTCGATTTATTGACACGCCCCTTAGTTAGCAGAATAATTTGTAAGCTCTATGGAGTTCGTGGATCAAGGTAGCCACGATCACAATGATGAATTTTCTTGCATTGCTTCTTTTTGTCCATTTACCGTTTATCAATAACGGCATCATGGTCTTCGTAGACAGACGTTCCGCCTTCACTTTCTTGCCTGCATATATTCAAAGGTGCCTTGTGTTCATTACGGTTATACCATTTATACCATTGAGCACGTACGGGCATTGAACTTGAAAAATTGTTTTAAATTCTATGATATCCCTGTAGCTTCAGACATTCGTTCGCAAAGTTTAGCTTACGTGAGAGACAAGCTCTTGGCTCTTTATCCATCGAAAATCAAAATTATAAATTGTAATTACGCAAATATATAGTCTCGTCTTTCTAATTATTTATTTCGAGCTTGAGGTTCCCGAGAGGTCTGGGAAATATATAGTATATCTTCGATGCAAGGGGCAGTACGGCTAAACACATCGATATGATAAGGAACTCATATATACTGTGAGCTCAGTGTGTTTCGATCGTATATTTATATATAAATAGATAATGGATTGAGTAGATTTTAGAAAGATTAACAGCATCTGGTTTTTTGCATGACTGTGTATGACAGAGGCTCAACTAGGTGCACTTCCCATTATTATAAATAACAAAATAATAAAAAAGCAGAGAAAGAAGGAGAAAGAATCTTGTGACAGTTGTATATTTTTTTTTTATATATGTGTAACAAAAAATTGTTTTATTCTTCTCTATTTAATATAAATTATTTTATTTGTCTCTTTTCTTCTTATATTTGTTTCGATGTATATGCTTACTTTGTATTTTGTAAGCTTTTTTTACTGATTATGTTTAAATTTTCATACGGTGTCATTTTTATATTTGGTGTTGGTTCTACGGTGATAGTTGAGGGAGCTAATAGTCGGTCGTTGGGCGATAAAGTGTATGTCTGCCCCTGTTTTTTGTTCTTTTATACCGTCAATTCGTCAATCCGTCAATTGGCCAATCTTGTACTATTTAAAGAGGGGAATGCCAAACAAAACCCAAACGACAATAAATGGCTAAACGAAAAAACGGTTAATTTTTGCATTGTTGTTATTTCTAATTTATTTATATGTCAATTGATGTAAAGCAAAAGTCAGTCGAAAGAAATACATTTTAATAAAGAAAAAAAAAAAAAAAAAGAAAAAAAAAGTCATCGACCATCTAGTATCAATATATAGTGGCTGCAATACGTACATATTCCAAAAGTAAAAATTCTTTACACAATCATTATTGCTCTAAATTCATTTATAAGATATTTTCTCGGGTTTTTTGATTCTGCCATAAGAAGGCATACGAACAAGCAGCTCTCTGCCAAAGCAAGTATGCAATGAGTTGCACGTCGAAAAGTTCCCCATTGTGTTCTAGGGATATAAGCATAAATTTTCCCCCAAATGAATCATTCATTGATTTATTTATCAATCTCGTACTAGTGTGCAGACGAAGTTATAAACAAGAAAACGGCGCGCGGATGCCTGCAAGTGCCATTAGAAATAGTGTGACAAGCTTCTTATACTCTGGATCCACGTTGTGTTGACAATAATTTGAATAGTGTTTTATACCAATTTGTTCATGCGTTGTTTCTAAGCCATCTCTTAGCGGAAGAATACATAAATAATACTCAAATTTTAATATGATCAAATATAGAATTTTTGAATCTCAGGCATTTGAAAACTGTATTATACCTAAGGACATCTGCTGTCTACTGGGTATGTGTAATTATTTACTTTTATACCATGTATTATCGTTTAGTTTTAATCTTTTATAACTGAACCGAATATTTTTCTCTTTTACTTTTTAGGGAAATTATAAAGTGGAGAGACACATATATCGTTTATTAGAAAAAAACGTCAAAAGTGAGCAAGAAGCAAGAAGTGACCAAGAGAGAGAGAGAGATGCTATATTCAATTTTAGTTGATATTTTTGACCCCGTCCCTTCCCCTAATAACTCCTTTGGGAGTCTTGGACTTGGAATTTCAAAATGAAATTCCTTCGTTACCGTCCTTTACTTTTTGCATATAAGAAAAATTGTATTCCTTAGGAAAATTTCGAACTTCCAAATCGAAATTTACCTAACGCCAATTATAGTCTGATGGAGATATTTGCCGCAAAACAAAATATAAAAACTTTCTCTCAAAATATCGGATGGATAGACTAACCACAAAATATTGTTTTTAAATTAATCAAAACAAACGAACGAGCTGACTTAAAAAGCACAAGAGATTAATAATAATGCTAGGCAGTGATTTGGAGCTCGTTTACTTGAACTCCGTCAAGTATCTATTTAATCAGTTTGAATGCGACGTGATGTCTGTTTGCTTCAAATAAAATGACAAAAAAAAGTTGCTGTACCACAAAAATAATGATTATTAAAAACTGCAAACATCTCTACTCAAAATAATGCTGCATTTGAGAAAAGTGTAACGAACCCATTTGATTGTTTAATAGCGGTTTCTATCAATTTGTAGTGACGACAAATGAATAATGAATTCGCTATAATTAAAATATGACTCGTTTACTATCTCGAACAATTCATGCCTTGTCTCGATATGGTTCCTATTTGGCAAAAGACAAACTTATTTTGCTATGATTCTTACCCCATCAAAACTGGCCGAGCTATATATACTAAGAACTGCCTTTGTTTTACAAAAAAAAAAAAAAAAAAAAAAAATTAACTTTTTTTCTCGATGTTGTATGTTTTAGTGAAGTCTTGAAATTTTGCTGGACTAGGATCGAAAAATTAGAGGAAAGCTTTGTTAAGAAATATTTGGAAAATGAAAAAAAATGCTTTTTTTGTTTGCTTCCTATGTGCATATAATGTATCTACCGTGATACTCGTTATATAAGCCTTCCCAAACTTTCCACTATCCTACTCGAGTCAAAATTTCTTTACAGAATCCAAATTGGGACGATTGTGATGTCAACTGTTGTACAGAGCGTAAATGTATTTTCATATCACCCATTAAGATTTTTGCTATCTTCGAGAGAGTTTGGCGTTCGTTAAACTATATCTATTGCTTTCTCGTAATAAGAAATTCTCCTTACAAGTGAAAGTCAGATTTCGCGCTAGTGGCTCTTCAATGCCGGTATTTCGTGACAATGACTTGACATTTACAAAAACATTAATAAATGGATAAATACGTTCGAAATTATAATGAGCCCCTCCCACACGCCCCCACCCTCACTTCCCCCTTAGCATATACGATTCGTAATATATATGCAGAGTTACGTGTTTTTGAATTTTGTTTTTGATTTTTTCATTTGCGGGTATCACACTTCAATATCGGAATCTCCGAGACTATTAAAACTCTCGAAATTCATTGCTCGGAAAATGAATTTCGTCCTCGACATTAATTGGTGTGTGCTTTAGAAAAAAGAGTGACAAGTTAATACATCTATTTATTTAGTAGTGGAAGTAATAAAGTCTATGCAAAATTTTGTTTTATTTTATGTTCAATTATATATGTATATATGTAATTTCAGTATTTTATTTACAATGTGACGCATTTCGTGCAATTACAATAAAAGCTGAATTTTTCTTTGAAAAATTGAACTGTGATTGGCTAACTTGTGTGTGAAGAAAATAGTTTCAAAATATAAATAAGTCTTATAGAAAGTATATATGTTTGGGTGTATGTCAACTTATTTCTGTAAAACTATGAACCAGAAAATATCCATAAAATTGAACAAACAAAACCTAATAATTCTTTATATAAAAAATACATAATTAAATAAATAATAAAAAAAAATAAATAAAAAATACAAAAAGTACCTAAAGGCCTTCGAAGACGACACCCGCTAATAGACGGGAAGCATTCGCGCATTACTTTTATAAAAAACGTCATGACACATTCCTCCAATTCCATACCGTCCACTGAAAATGATTGTCGCCAGTTTGCAACAATTACTGATGACAACGATACGAGCTTTGAAATCGATGAGCCTGATGATGATGAATTAGCCTCAGAAGATACTAATAATCATTATGAGAAAACACCGACGAACGAAGATGATATTAATATAGCCAGCACATCATCGGGCATAACATCGTCATATCATTACAAGAGACCACCTCATGTCATACATAAAGATGACTCTGATAATGAGTCGAATTTCACGTCTGGATCTCGTACATGTTCTTCAACGCCTACGACAGCAGATGTTGCCGATATCACGACGGCCACAGCTGTGTATCCTGCTATTGCAAAACATGTTAAACGCTTAACGCCGGCTCCACATATGCAAGCGATTACAATACAAACTGTACAGATTAAAGGAGCAACGTCCGAATCTGTTGTCGCCGACATCTTACCCGATGATAATTGTTCTGATTCTCTAGAAACCACTGTAACAGCAAGCGATGTCGAGCTGGACAATATAGCAACCACAACAACTAATTCCAATTCAGCAAAGTTAACGTTGTTACAAAGTAATGTCAATGCAATTTCATTAGCCCGTACAGCGGCAATTCCATTATTAACGCATCCAAGCGCAGCTTGTCAGCAAACGGATATTATTGGTGGAGAGAAGCCCACCGCTGGTCATCATCACAAACGTACATTATCGTCTGCTTCGCATCGATCTGCAGTTTCTCAATTTTCCGCACACACAGTCAATACCTCGTTGTCAGTTCAACCGAAATGTAAATTTTGGTCTTGCCTTCAATGGATATGTTTATGTCTTAAGGTGAATACCCAGAAAAAAAAAAAAAATGCTAAAATCTTGTAATTAGTGTGTAAAACTAAAATTCAATATATATTATGATGGTTCACTTGCTTGGATTTCTTACGTACATACATACCTATATATGCATTTAGAAGCAGTACAATGTTCTTCTAATGAAATACATATGAGAAAATGTTGCACATAGTTGTATTTATATCATGTTAGAGCAAATTACTTTTAATGCCCTCCATCAGAGGATGTTATCTACTAATGTTGTGATACCGTTTGTAGTTCTCTCTGAAATCCCCATCGAAGAGCCTACATAATTTTGATTAACATTGAATCTATCTGTCTATGTCTTTATCATGGTCATAATTGTACAAAACTAACGCATATAGATATATGTACCACCCTGCCCAGCTGGAATTTGAATCTACAAGCTTTAAAATGCTTTTCTAATTAATCTCAAATTTTTCTATATATATATATACATATGTATACAATGATGGATTAATATACAAAGCTTTCTTCTATATTTGATTGTAATCGGCCTAACCTAAGAAGCTCATAGCCAGTACACAATTTCAACAGCTCCAACTAAAAGGTGAATTGCTACAATTAGCCTTAAAATGTTTGTAAGATGTTTACTTACTTATTAATAATGCAAAGAAAAAGAAAAGAAATTCATTTCTCAAGAAATCCATGGACTGAAAATGATTTTTTTTATTGATTTTGTGGCGAATAAAGTACGTTTTTCATACCTTTTGAACTTTTCAAATGTGTTTAATCCACATCGAGCGTAGAGCATATGCGCAAGTTTCTAAAATGTTTAGGCAAATTTCGCCTGGTCATGTGGTGATGAGTGAAAAAAGATTCGACTCAAATTGAACATAATTTCTCTTTTTTACTGTACACTTGAACACAAAAACTGGCGATTAAAGAGCAGGAAGAACGCAAAAATATGTTTTCAAATCATATGAAACATTTATCCATTCTTTTCGTGCTTTAGATGCATTAACAAGGGCATAGATAAACGCGAAATCATAGAGAAGAATAGAATGACGCAGACAACCCAGTATTGAACTCGATACAATTTTTAACCACTTATTTAACATATTGTTCGAAATGCCTATATATATGTATCTAATACGTTGGCAGCAAAAAAAAAAAAATAAAAAAAAAAATAAATAAATAAAAAAAAAAAAATGTCAATATATTAAGATGAGTAGCGCTAAAATGTTTTGCCTCAAAGTTTCAAAGACCGTCATAGATACCAATACCCTTTAGAATTAAGAATGAAGGCATTTTTGCGGTTTCGTTGTTCCGTTTTGCTGAGTCTTATTCCGCATTACAAACACTCAACATATCCTATGCATGTTATATTAATTCCGAATATTCGCAGGAAGATCAAGAATAGGACACTCCTTGGCTATTTTGTGACGAATTTGTCCGATAAAAGTTTTTACAGTGTTAGTAAAATACAGAAATACACGCAACAGAGATATGTTACGCGGATGGGCTTTCAAGTCCATTGTTTAGATTTGTATACGTCTGCTTGCTCGTCTCTCCGTGATTACGTTGTGAGAATAAGCTGGAACGATCGGTGACCGGTGATCTTCAACAGTAAATTTCAATAATGATAATAATAAGAATAAGTTTAACTTGATCATAAACCACTGATATCTACAAAAAAAAAAAAAAAGAAAAAATGTCCCAGTTCTCATCAAAACCAGTGGATTGATAGTGATTTAAGCGAAAAATTTGACGATTTTCAAAAATATATATTTTTTCTATTTTAATAAATTCCGTCCATCCATATCTGATATATAATATTTTGGAAACTGTAAAGCCCCGAAAATGAATTCCTTCATTTGGGCGTTCCGTTGCAAGTTCAAGAGAGTCAATGTAACGAAAATTATGTATGAAATAACATTCTTTCATAATTCGCTACCGTAGTGTTAAATACGCGAAAAGAACAATTGAAAATCGTCACACTATACGTCAAATTAGGCCGGTATTCGTAATGGCCTTCTCACGCATTTGCCCAAGTATTTATTCTTATGTGCGCTACAAAGGATGGAAATCAATTCAATCAACTGAATTCGAATTGGACCGTAGATATCAAAATTGTTTTCCCTTTAAACTCCAAACGGTGCAAAATCGAGTATTTCGAGTCTTTCATTTTACACGAAACATACGATCACAAAGGACAAATGATAGGATAGTAATATGAGAAAAAGTTTCTGTTCTTCTTGTTGTGTGAACAGTAGGGCAGCTAATCTAATAAATTTTTATAGGCGAACATATGCATGTACATGAAATTTTGAATTGATTGAAATGGAACATAATAAATATATATATATATATATATATATATAAGTATTGAGAATTGCGTTAACCGGATTTCCAATTTCAGAATTCCGGTATTGGTGAACCTAGCGTACATCATGCATTGGTTGTGATATTTTTAGAGTTCTTCGCTTGGGGTCTCTTAACGATGCCCGTAATTGCGGTAAATTTTATTGCATTTGTTTTTTTCTTCATAAAAGATGATGATTATTTTTTGCTTGCAGGTGCTAAATCAAACATTTCCTGATCACACTTTTTTGATGAATGGTCTAGTCATGGGTATCAAAGGTATATTATCATTTCTCAGTGCGCCCCTAATTGGTGCTTTGTCAGATATTTGGGGTCGTAAGTTTTTCCTATTGATAACAGTATTTTTCACCTGCGCTCCCATACCTTTAATGACAATAAATACCTGGTGGTTCTTTGCAATGATCTCAATAAGCGGCATATTTGCAGTCACATTTTCAGTGGTATTTGCTTATGTAGCCGACGTAACCACAGTAGAAGAACGTTCGCGTGCTTATGGTTTAGTTTCGGCAACTTTCGCTGCTAGTTTGGTATGTACACACGCATATATATATATATATATATATATATAATTTTTAACATTCATTATTTTATATCTTATACATTTAATGTTTGTTGTGTTAAATATACATATATATCAATTTTTACGTTAATTTTGATTTCAATTTTCATTTTCAAAAGGTAATTTCACCTGCCTTGGGAGCTGCACTTATGGAAAAGTATAGTGATACTTTAGTGGTCGCTTTGGCTACAGCGATAGCAGTACTAGATGTATTTTTCATTTTAGTGGCCGTACCTGAAAGTTTACCAGATAAAGTTAGGCCGTCGTCTTGGGGGACGCCAATTAATTGGGAACAGGCTGATCCATTTGCGGTAAGCAATATTTGTCCAAACCTATTATATTTTAAAAAAGCTTCTATTTCAGGCTTTGAGAAAAGTCGGTACCGATCATACAATTTTGATGCAATGTGTGACAGTTTTATTATCATATTTGCCAGAAGCCGGCCAGTATTCGTGTATTTTTGTTTATTTAAAATTGAAAATGAGTTTCAATACAATGGAAGTGGCAATATTTATCGCTGTTGTTGGTATACTGAGCATCAGCGTGCAAGTAACTTTAGGCTATTTAATGCGGTAAGCCGCTGTAACTCTTTGAGTAAATCACTTATTTCATAGTATCTCTTAATACTGTTGCATAAATTAGGAGGATAGGAGCAAAGCATACAATCATTTTGGGTTTAATACTGGAAATGACTCAGCTCTTTTGGTATGGCTTCGGCAGTCAAAAATGGTAAAAACAAGAATCAAAAGTTGGCCATTCGGCTTATGCCGAATCTTTTATATCCTCCACCAATGCTATTCTCTATAGAAAAAATATTAATAAAGATCTGAGAATAGGAGAAAAAGGAACATCAATATACATACATACATACATAATGCATATGCATGTATTATCGAACATTAGTTTATGAAAAATTAAAACTAAAAATTAGATTATCTTAATCACTGAACATACATTTATTGAGACGTACAGTGAATTGTCAAACAAAGCGTTCCGAACAAAGACATGCAGGTAATCGATATAATTTATTTGATTACCAAAAGTATTGAAATAATAACAAAACAAATTTGGTGAAGGGCATAATAATAAGTTTTATGGCAAAATTGCAAACAGACTGAAAGAGAGATAGGGGGAAGAATAATGTATTTATGAATATATGTGCTTTAAAGGATGATGTGGGCTGCCGGAATATTAGCTGCTTTAGGCTCTATTACTTACCCTGCTATAAGTGCGTTCGTGTCAATTCACTCAACAGCCGATAGTCAAGGTTTGTATATTGCAGTACAAATCAAACATTGATTTATCTCTGCTATATGATAAATAATTGCTTCTAAAAATCATAAAAATCCCTTCTAAATGAGCAGCAAACATTAGAATTAATTGATGTATATATATATGTATATATACTGTGATGCAATCAATTCAAGTTTTCTTCTTATGTCAGCTTAAAGCGCGAAAATTCGGGTTTATTTCCAAATGTTTTTGAATTTTTTTCTTTTTTTTTTTTTAAGCAAATTATTAGTTTTTTCTTATTAAAAGATGGAGGATTTTGAAAAAATGATTACGATCTTCATCTCATCTATAAGTACCGTGCAATTTGTTTGGCTCTTGTCAGATATAGATATTGATGCAAGTTTTTGATATAAAATCTCCGTCTAATTCAGTTTAAGTAATTGCAGGGGATATTATCAGGAAGCTCTTTGATATTAGGTACTGAATAAATCTATAGCAAGCTAGATGCCTTAGTAGTTGCAATAGTGCGAAACTGTACCGCATAATAATCTATAAGCTTTGTTTGCATATGTTTAAAAGTCATTCCTAATCGAAAAAATGTCTGTAAAGTTTGGATTAACGAAACATCCAAATAGTATGTTTGTACAATGTTTTCCAACGTAATAATATACCAATAAATTGCATTAATTAATTACTGAATTAATTACTTCTTTTATCAATTTTAATTTCTAGATTTGGTTCCCTTTGTGTCCAAAAATAAACGATTAGCTTTTTCAGAAGTGCGAAGGGAAAATTTTTCTTAGAAAAACGTATGGAAATAACGTACAACTTGTCAAAGAAGAGATCTTTTTCAAACAAAAAACCAAAAACTTAAAAGTGCATTGTTTCATTCGATTGAAACTATTTATCATACAGCTTTTTTTAAGAAATGAAAGTAAAATATTTAGATATATAAGAATCCATTTTTCGTGTCTGCAGGTGCTGTCCAAGGTATGGTGACTGGTATGCGCGGCCTGTGCAACGGTCTGGGGCCGGCGATGTTTGGTGTTATATTTTACTTGTTTAATGTCGATTTAAACGATGAACATGCAGCTGCTAACAACACAGCAGGAAGTTCTACGGATGGTAAATGGTTTCAAGTACCAGGACCTCCCTTTATGTTCGGCGGTTTTATGGTAATATTGGCCATACTGGTTGCACTTTTTATTCCAGAAGTGCGTGGCGAATATAGTTTCAACAGTAGATCTCCAATTGAAAAGAAACGTGAGTCCAAAAAGGCAAAAAATTATTACATTCGCAATTTTAAATGAAGTTATTTACATTTGAAAAGGGGTCTCTTTGGATGTACAATATGAAATAGAGGGAGGTCCCAAACCAACCAGCCCCCTAATGCATTCAGATTCACTGGCACAGCTGTAGTAAAATTTAGTTAACGATAAGGATCTTTTGTTTCGTTAAACTGTAAGAAGAAAAAAAGTTAATTTTAACAAATTATAGATTTAAACATCACACACAAAAATGATGCGTTCGAGCTTTGTTTACAAAATTCATTTGTCACTATTTTCTTATTCTTTCGCGTTAACATTTTCATTACAACCTAAAACTATTACTAACACACAATTCACATAAAAAGTGACCATGACAGGGTAGCAATTATGCGCGATTTGCAAATGATGATTAGATAATTTTTGACAAAAATATAAACGGTAAAGTGTCCTCCTCCACAATGATCGAATACGTATAAACAATGACTCACCATTCAAATCTGTCCTATCTATCATCGCCGGTAGCTGTTACATTATATAGAATAATCTCATATATTATATTAAATTTTCTATTTACCAAAGATTTTGTTTTAAAAAATTTTGAATGAAAATTTTTGATTAAAGTGTGGATACAAATATTCTGCTTCTATATAACATGATATTTTCTCGACTTTACAGGAAATTGCAAATAATTTATCTGCCGACTATTATATACCTAAAGCATAAAATTCGAACAATATATGGCGACAAAGCTAGTCATTACACAATTATCAATTAATTAGTAACAAAATTTTTAACAAGTTCCTTCGGTAAGTTACGTTCAATACTAGCAAAGATAGTTCAAAGCCAGTAAAACTTATTATAAAACGTTCCTGGTGGTCTGGCTTACAGTATGTTATTAAGGAATTAACTTGGCACTGAATTATTATTATCGCAGATAATAATTCCATTTGGAATTATTTTAATATTCAAAAATGTTTTCCTTAATACATTTTCATCGACTTTATTTATTTATTTTTTTTGTTTTTTCGAAATGACAATAGATTTTCCCAAAAGTTCTCTATATCAAATTATCGGTGAATTATACGTTTCCGAGTTTTTCTTTAGTCAGATCCTTTGTCCTTCTCGTTGCACTTTTAGCTCTTCAGTGAGCTCCTTATGCTAACGTTCCTTTGATAAAAGCACTTTATCAATTCCAGTCGTAAATAAAATAAATCATTTCCGTTATTTACGTTTTACTTTTAATCCAAAGTACTTGAGCTTCATTCATAATAACTACTCTTGTGAGATAGCTTTGCCGTCAAAGAAACCCCTTAATAAACTGGTAACAATTGCAGTAAATTGCCCACTTGTAAATTTCATTATATATAGTTTTGTTTTCGCAAAATTATAAGTGCAAAGTAGAAGAATAAAAGAATATATTCCAAAAATAAAGAAATTAAAAGTGAATTTCAAAAAGCCGTACAAGGCTTTCCGGGTAACTTTTGCGGAAAAACGCTAAACAAAAATATTGAACATCTTCGTTTTTCGAAACGTCTATAATTATTGGATTGGCAAGAGTCTGCGAAAAAAAAGAAAGAAAAACAAAACATACGTTTATATTTTTTAAATTTACAATTTAATCATACCTGAGGCTTATAATACAAATAACTTGAGTGAGTATTATTTTGAGAATAGATATAAAGAGTTTTTTTCCTTAAAGAGCAAACAATATAGTGAAATTGATCTTAAGTGAATCGTTGATATTCCCTGAATGAAACCAACGAATTGTCATCACAAAATATTCTCTTCAATATTGGTGGGCCAGTTGCTCGATCACGTTAATGTCACCTTGACATTAGAGATTTCGAGCATTTCTATATCAATTTTTAAGGTCATAAATGTTCCTTTAAGAGAGAACAGACGAACGGACACAATTAAACTGCTTTAAAATTTCACCTTGATCGAGAATAAATTTTCGCAAATCATTTTCTGGGAGTTGGTAAACGAAAAGCATATCTAATTGCTGAATACTATCAATCAATTTATTCGCACTTCAATTATAAAAATCAAAATCAAATCTATGAGAAGTGAATGTGGAGTAACAAAAGAGAAAATCAAATTGATACTGAACATGGTACATAAATTCAATGAGCTACTTACTTACTTATCCTATATCTGATTTATGCTTAAGGCCACAATAATTGCTAAATAATAATAATTTTACCAAATTTATTTATAAGTTTTGATGCTGGATTTAAAGCCACAAGAAAATATCTTGCAAAAAAAAATTGAAAACTTTTATTTGCTAAATATCATAAATGGGAAAAAACACTTTTTCATCCTTGAATGCTTACATTTCAATTCATAAACTTTATCAAGTATACGATCACGTTTCCAATTTTTAGGGAAAATTTCAGTTTGATAGAATACAATAATTTTAAAGTAAAGTATCATTAAAAATGGTTAAAGTTAATTTACTATAAATAAACTAACAGTTATTTCCTTCCTTATCTTATAGCCAATACATAAAAACTTACGATACTCATCAGCGTTATTACCTATATCCAAGTATCAAGCATTGCCGCAACAGCTACTATTTGTTTAAAGCCCTGTCGTGAATTATTAACCATAAGCACATTGCAATTATAAAGGTTAACACAACAATATTGAGATAAAACTCGAAAACACCTATTTTATGGGTCGAAGTAGACCAAAAATTTTCAAAGAAAATTTACTATTCCTTTTAAAATGTGCGTGTGTGTGTGTGTGTGTGTGTGTGTGTGAGTGAGTGTGTGTGTGCGTCTTGCAACAATTCTAAAATCACTTTGAACTGAAGAGTTTCTGAAAAGAAAACTTTAAGCATTTCTCCGAAAATCTTGCCTCATACTTTCCTATGTCTGCAGTTTTCCTAAACAGCGAAAGTGAAACTATGGACTTTACATTTTTATAAGTTTATTCAATTTTGAAAACTTTACCGTATAATTTTTAAATCAATCCCTTTCCCTTGTTAACCGATATTTGCAACAAATTTTTAAAGCTAAATATTTTTACAAACATTACAAAACTTAATTTACGCTCTCGCTTTCTTCGTTCGGCTTATTACAAATAAATCGATTTGATAAGTTGAAAAGTTCGTTTGTTTTTTTTGTTGTTGTTTGTTTACTAAAAATTGTTGCTTTATTACATTTCGTAATAAATAATAACTGCCGAAATTGATAAAATTATCTAAAGATATCATCATATCAAACAAAGTCTCAAACTAAACCTAAAAGAAAAAAACAAAAGAAATGAAAAGAAAAGAAAACAAATAAAATGTACAATACTAGCACTAGAAATCATTGTTTGCATTATTTAGAGTATGTGTTGCATTTTAAAAGTAATATTAAAAAAAAAAAAAAAAAAAAAAAAAAAAAAAAAGAAACAACAATAATAATAACCCGTCGTCTTCTTGTTTAAGTATACATTATTATGCCAACATCTTTAGCTTTAATATGCAAAACGTAGGCGTGATCTTCTTTTATTTAAGCCTAACTATATAAATTTGTAGATACATGAACTAACATAAGCGGAAAGAGAATAAACAAATACTTGTGCATCGTGCGCGCGTGTGTGCCTGTATGCGGATGTGTGAATATGCGTGTATGTGTATGGATGTGAATGTGTGAGTGAATGCGCGTGTGAATGTGTGTGTGTGTGTGTGTGTGTGTGTGTGTGTGTGTGTGTGTGTGTGTTAATACACATATATATATATATATATATAATATATATGTAATATATATATATATAATATATATATATATAATATATGACTGCATTCGTGCACGCATGTAGGTATAGGTAAATATATTTATGTATAAAATAAATAAAGGTATGTTTGTACATTTTATCGCTGCTAAACTTGTAGTCCATTAATGCACATATTAAGAAATAAACAAATGAATAAATAAATAAATAAATAAATACAATTAATGCTAAATTACTTTTACGTCATTAAATATTTTAATCGCTACATACCTTTATAAATTCAACCAAAACTAAATGTAAAGAAAAAATGATTTAGATCAATGTTGGACTAGTTACACTAGTGAAAGTTTTGTTAAATTAACTACATAGATAAAGAAGTGTGTAATTATAGGAATAACGAGAAATAAATTATGAAAAATGTCAAATATAAAAAGCAAAGGACAAATATATTTAAGTCATTTAGAATCTGGACTCTGGAATGTCTGTCATATTGTTCTATTTAATTGTTGTTTTAATTTTAATTCATAAGCCATACGAGGGAAGAAAGAAAAAATCGGAGGAAAACAAGAAGAGGGGTATGTATGCATGCAATACAAATTGTCTTTGCTCTGCTCTGGGAAATTTCAGTTCAATGAAAGATGAGAAGAAGGGTGCATTTTAATTTATGAACTTACCGTATGAATTTGCCGTAACCCTCCCCTTTGACAATTTACTCTAAAGTATCTTAAGTGAAATCATTTTCTGTTCTGCCGTAACTACTGTTTTTTTTATTTTTTTACATTTTTTTTTTTTTTTTTTTGTTATAGAAGTTCGGGGTGCCGTACCTTTAAATAAATTAAAAAAATTTTGTAAATTGCAAAACGAATAATTATGTTAAGGTATAAAACGGCTGATAGCCTCTAGTTGTTAGTTGGGCGCTCAACCATTTTTGGCAAATATTTTTATTTATTATAAGCGACTCTGTGCTTTGAAAATATTTCGTAGTCATCTATTGATAGTGGTACGGAGATGAAGCAAAATGTGAAAATAAAAACATTTATGCTTATAGTAATGCACATAATACACATAATGCAAATGCAAATGCAAAATTCATTTTGTTTAGCTCTTAACACATATGAAATTTTGATTTTCCAATGGTGTGTGTAAGATGTGTGTAAGATGAGATGAAATATATGTGTATGATTTCGGACACAAACCGGGGGAAATTTTAGACACAAATCATGCAAACGTGATGGAAGACTTGAAAAATATTGTTAAAAAAAAAAAGAAAAAAGAATTCATTTTATTTATTCTCTCGAGGAGAAATTTTCATAGTTTCTCTATAGTGAGCTTTCATATTAGAAATGAGCTTTTTTTCTGTTTACCATGACCAAAAAAACAAACAAAACAGAGAAATAAAACAGTGTTAGTCAGTGTAAAACGCACTTTTACTCTCTCAGGCGTTTTACTCTCTCGATAAGGGACAGCTTTAAGCTTTAAGCATTAAAAAATTTCCGGCTGCCTGTTAAGCTTCTCAATATTGCTTAACTGTGAGAATATGAGATTTATTTTGAAAGCGAAACTTTAATGCCCTACCTAAGCGTTTTTATATTATGGATTTTTATATATATATATATATCAACTTTTAATAAATAACCAAATAATCAATTTTGCGTCTATTTGCCCTTCTTAAAAACGTAAAGGAAAAACATAGCATTTATACGATGAATTAAGCTAAGCTGTCCTTAGTAAGACACGATAGTGGATGCTATTCTCCTAAATGGGAGATATTTTCAAATAATCTGTTGCATATATATGTTTGTTGGGTTGTTACAAACATAATGAAAGAATTAGTATATTTTATCGTGAGAGAGCGAGTCAGAGAGAGAGAGAGGTAGGGAGAGAAAAAGAAAAAAAGAAGAAAAGATCTTAAAAGATACGTTTAATAAATATAATAGCAAAAGGTACTTTTTGCTTGCTACATATCTAAAAGCTATCATGGAGTACGTGTTTTGTTAGTTTAGATTTGCGGTAACAGTCGAGTATCGGTTTTGAAAGTGAAATGTTTAGTGTAACGGATAACAGAAAATAAGATAATGAATTTATTAACTTTTTTTTAACAAAAAAAAAAAAAAAAAAAACGAAATAATAATAACAATTAATAATAATAATAATAGTAATAATAATAATAATATGAAAAAAAAAAACAAATCAAAACAAAACTAAAATGAAGACAATAAAATTTGCAGATTGTAAATCGAAATTTCAACATCAAATATTTATGAACGCATAGTAATATTTTAGTGCCAAGAAAAGGAAACGAAATTGTTTGAAAACATTTAAAAATATATTTTATTTATACGCAAATTATTAAAAAAGTTTTCATATTCTTTTTCGCCTCGTTCTTTTTTTTTTGCATTTCAGTACTTAAATATTTGGATGAAATTTTTAAGATTTTTTTTTTTTTTTTGAGTCCAAAACTGTATTCGAACAATTTGCTTGAAAAGTCTCTAAACCGATTATCGGGCATTGAAGTATTTTCAATGGAAGCGCATGGATAGTTCTTTTAGTGGTTTCGAAATATGTAAAAGTTTTTCCTTTTTTTGTTCGTATAATTAACGGCATTTAACGCACAATTAATGCTACGCTGTTTCTAAGGTATGTATATCCATAGTTGAGTTAATTTTCAGAGAGAGTGTACGGTTAAGAACAGATTGAATTGGTGTAGTAAAAAGCTTATACTAAATTAATTCCAATCTCAGTCCCGATGCCGGAAAGCGGAGTGATTTCAGAGATTTCATTAAAAAGGAAAATTTCAATAAATGTGCACCTGTAGCTTATTATTACTATTATTATTATTATTATTATTAATTTAGAGAGTCTTAAACCACTAGTCTTCCTAAGGCTACACCTATCGGTTTTAGCAAACTTGAAATTTGAACTCACAACCATCGAGTTGTTAGTCCAGATCCTTTGCCAACTCGGCCATGCGTGCGATTTGCAATTGCTACTTAATTTCAAAAGGAGACCGGAATCGTTGAAAGCTTAACTATCTCTGTTTGGTTCATGAGAGAGCTTTGTGAAGTATTCAAACTATGACGATGGCCTAAATTGAAATTTCATTATTAATTAACTGCATTTTACATAATAATCGGTTAAAAACGTTCTAGTCCCGCCCAATGTTATATGTTAGGAATTGACTCGTTTAGCTCAATTTCCTTATTTATAACAATATTTTAAAGCCCGTAAACAAATTTGCTGTACATGCGTACATAGTTGGCGTATATCTCAACCTATGGGTTATAAATCTGGTACAGCTGACTACTGTGAAAATACGTTGAAAATATCATAGATTAATAGCATAACTACTTCATGTCCATTTCGATTGCATATTGCGAACTTAATAACTGTGACCGAATACTTTTTGCATCTTAACACCATCATGAAAATCATAAATCACTTGAGAAATAATTTGGTAATAATTATGACATGTATACATAGAGTAATTATGTAAAAATCATTTGTCAGTGATAATCATAACATTATCGTAACAATTGGGAAAGTTGTACACGACTTTTTTTTTTTGCTTATCGAGTAAAGTAGAAATATGCAAACATAGCTTTCATTGTTCGTTTAACTTATCAATCGTTGCCTTAGGATAATCTTTTTGTACAAATATTTAGATGATGATCAAAAAAACGAATTGAATTTGTAGTAACATCAATATCCGATAGATAGACAGACAGACGAAGGAAGGCTGATTTGATTAAATCGTCTCTCTCTCTCTCT